TATATATTATAATAATAATAATAATAATAATAATATATATATATATATATATATATATATATATATACATATATATTTCTTTTTTTTATTTTCTCATACCAAATAGAAATTTTACAAAAGGAAGAAACTAATAAGAACATATATGGATACATTTCGTATAATTTTATATTTGTATATATTTATATATATTTCCCTAGATTTATATATATTTATATATGTTTCTGCATAAGAAATTTTTACTAGGTTGTTTTTATCAATTGACACCTACCTTCATAACACAAAGTAAAACGACTATTTCTGCGGAAAAATGCGGAAGAATGGTAAAAATTAAACTTTTCCTTTGAATAAAATAATAGAATAGTTCATATGTATGTTCTAAGAGAACAACACAGATGCACGCTTTGCGCGTGCCATTTTTTTTAGTTTCATTGTCACGATTTGAGTTGTAATTCTTCATTGCCGCGAAATTTGCCATAATCTCAGTCTCATCTGTCTGTCCGAGCTGATTGGACACGCGGAAAATGGCAACAATATGCATGAGACATTCGACTTCACGCATATATGTACGGATTTTTTTGATCACAGCATTATGGATATAATTAATATATAATGTATATTTTTTTCCAAGAGAATTAAATATTAATTAATTGTCTTCTAAATTATTTGTAATTACAAAATTTTATTATTTTGTGAAACTGAAAATAAAAATTGAAATCATATCACCTGTTTACATTTCTTTCTTTATCTTAAAGAAGATAGGAATTTTTCTTTCACCATTAAAAAAGGAATAAATAATATATATATATATACAAAGACTATAATTTTAAGAACAGAAAATAGCATTATAAATTCAAATAATAATTTTGTTTTTAATAATTTTACTCATTTAATTATGTAATTTTAGAAAGATAGATATATTATACTTACTCTGTCTGATTATCTTCAAAAGTCAGGCTGCCTTCGGTGTGCACGTATTGCTTGCCAGGTTTTGCTGTGCCTTCTACAGTACGGTAAGGGACAATAACGCGACCACGAGCCCCACTATAACGCACTACTCGAAGAGGATGCTGACCCACGCTTTCCACTAGCTCTACATCTCTCTCGGGAAAACCAAAAATGCCGCTGTGATCGTCATCCAGGATCATCACCGTCGCCAGACTTGGTGAAACAAGCATTGCTGGTTGTGACACATTACTGAGCCTAAATATCAGAAAATATTAACATTAATTTTTAAAAAAATTATATCATAATTTTAATAGAAATCGGTATTACAAATTCAGTCTATGACCCCCTCCCCCATATTTCAAATTGCATTTTCGTGCCTTCAATGGCCAGAGCTATTTCTTAAAACTATCAAGAATTCTAAAACTACCAAAAATCTACACAGAACTCCAAAAAAAATTAATTTTTAGATAACAGAGGGCTAACTTCACAGGAGTGAAATAAACGCCTAAAATAAATAATTTAATATTCATTTACACTGTTTATTTGATCTCGTTAGCTAAGATAAAGACTTTAATAAATACAGTTTCCCTCTTTCCTTCATAAAAGCAATCAGGAGTTTCAGGAATCTCATCAATATAAAATGTGTTTGATGAAAGAAGGAAAACTTGACGTGATTTTGATTTATGATGAAAATAGTCGATATTTTAGAGGAGCACGTTATTTGTGTGAAAAGTTCTTTTGCTTTTCGCGTTTTGTAATCACGATTGCCACTTCGGTTCCAGTCGAAGACTCCAGCTTTTTCAACAAATCTCCGACTGTTCGACAAACGAGAAGAACCTCCGACTAACAAATTTTGATAACAGTTGTTTGGAATGGTATTGAGCATTCAGCGGTCACGACAGCAGCAGAGACCGATTCGAATATCTTGACGATTCTCTTGTGCCCGTTTTATAAATAAAGTTTACTCCTTTACTAAAACGGTATTGCTCATTCCGTGAATGCAAACGAGAATTATGCGGCGTGTGCCCGCCGCTAGCGCGACATATATTGTTAACTTTCTCTTCTTTTTTTATAATTCCTTTTTAACATTACTATTAAATATATAATAAGAAATTGTCTATTTTAAGAAACATGAATGACATTGAAAAATTAAAAACAATAACTCTAAGAAAAATTATTTTTTAGCTATGATATTTCCCGCTTTAAATTGAACAACTTTTGTTATTATTATTTTTTTTTTTACATTCACGCACAAAGATATTCAGCTGTATTGTTTTAAACGTCCCATGTATGAAATGTCTCATAAATTATTGACTTTTCGTTAGTGTTACTTTAATACTTTTGCAGGCACAATAAAAAGAAAAATCGATTCGTCTAAAAGAAATCAGACGATTCCATTTAAAAAAACGCGGGTAACATTAAAAAATTTAAATAGTTGAAAAAATTACTTTCTACTATATTTTCTTCTTCAAACTAAACAACTTTTATTATTATATAGAAGTATAAATCATCTCATAATATCATAATATCTCTTCTCTCTGAATATTAAAAAGAAATTATTACAGAAAAATACTGTAAAAAAGATGTATGATGTGAAAGAAAAGTCAAAAAAGACTGAGAAAAGGAGTCAGATATTACATCCATTGAATTCAAATCGAAATCACGCAAGCATCTCAACTTTTCAATCATCTTTTATAGATATAATAGAATAGATAAAGCAAAAGTTATTTTTAATACAACAAATGCAATAAGTACAATAAAAAATACAGATAATCGTATTGCAGATTCGCAAAAAATTAATAAAAAACATGATACGGACTATTCCATTTCCAATTGTAGCTACGTTGATTCTGATCTCAATGTGATCCCGACATTAATTCCAATATTTCTACTTGCTCTAGCTTTAGGTGTCAGCCAATGTGATAAATAGAAAAGTATAAAACACCAAAGATCTGAAAGATTAAAGAGAAAAATTAAATCAAAATTTAATAATAGATTATTTTATTTTAGCTGAAAAAATTTCCAAAGTTATGTGTCATAATCTTGAAGTAACGGAAAATCTTTTACCTAAAATAAAAAATTTTTAAATAAATTTTGTTATTAAAGATAATGGATCGGATAAATAATGTATAAATGATTTTTTGCAGAAACTTTTAGACATATCATTAAGAAATTCGGAGAGTGCAAACAGAAATTCCTGATAAAGCTACAAACAAAGTAATATCCATCTTTATTATGTAGGAGAAAGATTATTATATGAAACGTTACACGCAAAAGATCCCGCACAAAATTACAGGTTTTTCCTTCTCTGTGAAGTTGGCTGAAAACTTAGTATGTTATAGTTCATGACTGAAACTTAGTATGTTATAGTTCATGACTGATCAAAAGTTTCCTTAGGCACAAAATTTAAGAATGGTTTTTTTGCTACAACCGTTTGAAACGTTAAAAATATATATTTTAATATATTATATAAGAATTTTTATTATGTGTTTTCTCGTTTTTTATATCATAATTCAAAAATGGCTACAGCAAAAGCTTTAAAAATGATAATTAAAATTGATAATAGTTTATCATATGGTCATTATGATAAAAAAATTTACTTAATATAGAAAAGAGAAAAAGAAGAAATTTTTCAAAAAATATTATTAGCAAATTGTTTATTTTGCATTTCTTGCAACAATCTTTGTAGCTTTTAACAAGATTATATTAGAATAGATAGAATAGAATAGGCTTTAACTTAAGAATTTAATAGAGATATAATTCAGAACTTAAAATTTAAAATAATACGCACGTGTTTTTTTTTAAACAAAGTTATGAACGTTCAAGATACTTTAATAATAGGAAAAATAAAGATTGTGGAGAACATTTTAAAAAGTGAAAACATCATAAGTGATTTATAAACAAAAATAAAATCTGGAATAAATTTTCTTTTGAACACACACACACATACATACGCACAAACATATACAGAGGAAATATTCAATGTTTAAACTATAAACTTATCTATCTAAATTTGGTTATAGTATTCTATTGAATATTTTTGGATAGAAATAAATGATTTGTCGATTTGCAAATTCAAAGTACATACAAAATCGATTTAAAAAGTAAGAAAATATTTTCTTGAAAGCCATTTATATTAGTTGTTGCAAAAATTATTAAGAATTTTTATATGATATTTCATATTAAAATCAAGGCATCAAGATCAATATATCAAGTTAATATAGATTGTTTATTTTTCCTGAATTTGTCTTTCCTAAACTTTTTCTTTTTACTAGACCTTACAAACGCGCACTTTTTAATTTTATTACAAAAGAAGAGCAGAAATTAACATATTATTATATTTTTAATTTCTTGATATATATAATACAATTGTCAAAATACAAAATTTTTGAAACAACCACAAAATATGCGCAATGAAAGAATAAATCAGCTTTGTAGAAAAGAGACAATAATAAACTTTGATATATTCGAATATCGATTTGACATGCTTTTTTTAAAAATTCATATGTAATATTAAAGTATACATTTGCAAGACTATCGATAATTCTGTGAATTCTAAAGTAGCTCTCGTATAAATCTGAACATTATCAAACGTTTTCCAATAAATTCTAATAATAAACATCATTTATTTATTTTTTAAATAATTTTTATCACCAGAAAAAAAGTTTTTATAGATATATAAATGAGAGGAATAACAATCATATCGGATATGTATGTTAAGCTAACACAGTACAATTGGATAAAATAAAATAAAAAAATTACAATTTCTCTTGTTAAGCTATTACTTGTTAAACTAGCTTGTTAAACTATTACTCTTGTTAAGCTATTACTTGTTAAACTAGCTTGTTAAACTATTACTTTATTCGTAAATTTTATCGTTAAAACTGATTCTGAGTAAAACTGAGTAAAATAAATAGCTTAATTATCTTAAATTTATACTTAATTTCACAAAAAATTTAAAAGAAAAACAAAAATATTTTTTTAATTATTCTGCTAATTGTTCTATTGCCAAATTAATTATAACATTTTTTTAATTTAAAAAGATCATTCCTTTATCAACCCACTAACACAACATTGTGTAAAATATTAATTTCAAGCAAATATTTCCACAAATTTATATTTTTTATTTTATTACTTGATATTTTTATTAATATTTATTTATATTTTCTATTTTGTTCCTCTCAATATTTAAAAATCATTATTTTGAATTAGTACAACACTTTAAATTTCCAAATTTATTAAATATCTTGATAAATTATTTAATTTTTTCGTTCTTTTTTTTCAATTTATTGTTTAACATTTTTATTAACTCCAATTTTGTTATTCCATTGTTAATCATTGAAAATTACTATTTACTTATTCTACGATAACACAAAATGTTAAATTGATAGGTTTATTGAATATTTTGATAAATCACATCTTTGTAATTTTGTTGTGACACGATCATTAATCTCGATAAAAATTATTTAAAATATAAACACATAACATAATGATTATTGTTAGAATTCTTTAAACAATTTGACATAAATCATTTTAATCTATATAAAAACAAAAAATCTCTATCTTTTTTTTTAATAGAGTGCTAGCATCACTCTAAACTAGCATTCACATTTTTAAATTTAATTAATTTTCTGCGAATTGGTAGGAGCAAATTCGAAACTAAAGCAATAAATTAGCACTAAAGTAGCACTTAATTATGGCATAGATACAAACTTTTTTTTAATGGTGGGGGTATCAGCTTTTCAGAGATAAATAAATATATAATACATAATATAATAATATATAATACTATTTTTTGTATTAGTATTGTATTTTTGTGATATACATTATTTTATTTTTAGGTAAGATGAATTAAAAATATACTGTATCATGTGTAATGTCTCTTTCATAACTTATAATTTTTAAAATTGTAAATTAATTTTTGTTTCTGAAAGATCATTTGTTAAAGACCAATCAAAAATAATCAATATCTTTAAGAAAATGCTACTCCCGGCATCAAAAATAGAAAAGTCAGTGCTTTTTGATCATGCAATGATGACAAGGACATATTTAAAAAAATTTACATATTTAATCTGTATGTTGTCTCTCTTCGTAAGATATAAAGCAAAAAATTAAAAGCACTTTTTTATGAAATGTAGACCTGAACTACGATTGAAATTAGTTAGAATTCAATTAGTTCGGCTTGTTGTTGAGAAAAGGAAAATGTGAGCTGAATTCATCTCAGTGACTTACATAAATAGAGCAGCGGATATCTC